GCTTTCAACTTTTTAGCTTAGAAAAATATTTCACACTCAAAACAAAAAATCTAAAAAAAAAACGCTTTTGCTGCATGTTAACGCTTCTGTTTAAGTTTAGTTTAAAAAATAATATTTTAAATACACGAAGAAAAATCGATATTCAAAAGCACATCTATTGAGATGTAACACCAAACAAATTTTGTTCAATAGTAAAAACAAATTGGTACAAAAACTATGCTACAATAAAATGATAATTAACCACACCGATCGGCGTTGAAAAAATTACTTTTCACATAAAATAAAAAAAAACAAATAAAAAATTCTAGCAAAGAAAATTAACAACAAATGCCTGCTTTATTTTTTAAATAATATACTTTTAAGTTGCAAAGAAGCCTCATTATTTGACCTTATATTAATTTTGAAAACAAATTTCTTCTTCCTTCTCTCTCTCTCTCGCGCGCGCGCGCTCGCTACTCTCTTTCTTTCACACACGCTTTCGTTATTTGTGTGTGTGTGCCTGCACATGCGCTCTTTCAACAGAAATCGGCTGCTCCTCGAGCGACGAATGCCCCACGCAACGCGCTTGCGTCAATGGCGTTTGCCTGGATCCATGCTCGTACTCGAATCCATGTGGACGTGATCAAGAATGTCAGGTGATTGAACATCAACCGGTCTGTTCGAGAGGTGAGTACAAAATAAGATTCAAAATATGCATAGTATTTTAAATTAAATTATCTATCGATTAGAGTTTCGTTAGCGCCTTTACGGTTACAGAAATATAAATGAAAAAACTTACGGTATCATACCGGCGCTTGGATCCCTTTGGAACTTAGTATATTATACTCGTAGCATAATGCCGAGTTTCCACTAAGCATTAGAATGACAAAAAATGTGTGCCATTTAAAAAATGCCATGTTGGGAACGAACTTAGTGACTATTTTTTGAACGTAAAGACACGCTTATTTTTTAATGCCCAACTTTCGCATTACAAGTTTTGCCATTTAATGCCTAGTGGAAATCCAGCATAACTAAATAAATACGTTTCAATCTAGCTGGGGTATATTTGGGCCGAAATAAATATAAATCTTATCATTTTTATTTGGCACCTCAACCGCTTGTCGGTTTGCTAATTACCTCTCACTGAAGTTGCAAAACTGTGCCGTATTCACACCAAGGGTAGACAGGTCCTACTGCACTTTGTTCTTCATATGTGTTTGGAAATCTTTGTCAATCCATGCGAGCCGATTCGAAGGATCTTTTCGCCGACCATCCGGCTCATCCATACGAGTGACCCGTTCAAGCCTGCGTAAAGGTAGAATCTTAAGCGTTTTACAGCCCAGCCGTTATACCGCTGCCTACGGTGGCTTTCTTGTTTTTAAGTCGCATTATTGCTAATTTCTGGGTTCTTCTTCTTCAGACCGCATTCGGTTTCGCCATTCAAAAACGTTCACTCCATATCTCATGTATACTCTTAACGTCTGTAGCATTTAAGCTCATGTCCCTACATCTTTCCGTTTGCCTTTTCTTCCTCTCGAAAAGACACATCTCTTATTCCTCCTTTGCTCTCGGTTTCTCTTCTCTAGTGCTGCGAGTAGAAAACCAAGAGGTCTAATGCTACTACTTATGTTCATGTGTTGCTTACTCGACCTAGGTGGAGAGTTGGCTACGAAAATTTTCGCCTGTTTGTTGCAGCTTTTCGACGTCGAAAGTTTCCTCGACTTGCCTGACCCAAGTATTCATTGCACAGACGCATGCGAACCTTGGCTGGAATAGGGTAGTGATCCTGATGGGTGTCTATGCTTCTCGGATGGAATGCTCAGTGCACGTGACCTATTGCTCTTCTTCTTCTTCCTTATTGTTCGTTTCTCTTCTGTGGAAGTGCCAAGTCAAGCCAAGTCCTTCTCCATCTGGTATTTCCCTTGTAACTTTGCTGGTATTTTCGCCCAGCGCTGCCGACTACAACCGGATCTCACCAGTAATAAGCATCCGGATATTAACATATTAGCCGGTCGATTTCTGCCTTAAGCGCAACCATCTCAGACTTGAAATTTAGCGGCCTAAACTTAAGGTTAACGAAGAGTTCCTTAGGAAACACTCTAGCTCCAAATTTGCCGTCTGTCCCAGAGACTTCTTCTTTGCCACTCATTAAGGTAAAGAATATTCATTTGTTGACAGCATCGTTTCGCACCGATCAGTTGCTCCTCAGGTGTTAAGTACAAGTTCCCCAAGATCGTCGACGACCCATACACCCCATAAGACCACCACCTATAGCTGTATAGCCTGATGTCGAAAGGGACTGGGACGCCTGGTCTGCAATCACATAATGGAAGGAGTAAAGCAAATCTCCTCATTAGAGGGATACTCTAATATAAAATTTCCTCAACCGTTTAAAATATTTTTTGTTGGAATGAGGTTTAGTAGGCCCACTCTCTTTTAACGAAGCGCTAATCGGCAGTTAATATTTAACTGGTTTACATTTTTCGATAAAAATTGGTTACTAATTTTTTAGCGGCAAAACTTAAAAGCTGACTAACCGGCAAGTTAATATTTAACTGGAAGTTAAACTATTTTACTTTGTTTCTTAAAGATTTTTTTTTACTGACTTGGCAGTGCCAAAGTTAAGAGTCTTAGGGCCGTTTTCTCAAGCAGGTTTAAAAATTTATCTGCCCCTTAAAAAGTCAAATTTTTTCTCTTAGCTATTTGATCAAACGGCACTTAAATTAATCTGTTTATATTTCAATGAGTTCAGTATAATTCTGGGTAAAAATACTTACTTCCTAACTAATTTTTTTAGTCTGCGAATGTCAAAGCAAATCCGATTGTCATGCCGGTTTTGAATGCGATGGCTGTCAATGTCGACAAAGTATGAATTGCATAAAATTCACAAGCATTAAAATACAAACTAATTTCCATACCCTACTCACTCCTCCTTACAGCTACTGGCCGCACACCTGGCTGCGAACACTGCCCACCAGGCACCAACTGTGATCCCACAACAGGCGCCTGCATCAAAGGTGAGTGGCACTCAAAAATTATTTTAGAAGTAATTTTGGCTGGATTTTTTAATACATATTTTAACACAATCAAAACAATAATTAAAATTCTAAAATGCAAAATTAACCAAATTCACTAAGTAATTTTAACTGTACACAGTAAACTGTTAACATATTTATATAACTACCAACAAACCAACCAAAAAATGTAAAATAATTGTACATATGACTTTTCCCACTTTTTTAGAATTTCTTTCGTTTTTTTTTGTTTAACAAATATTTTTTTGCAATTTTTTTTTTTAATTTTGAAAATTTTTTTTTCATTTATGTTTGGAAAATTTAAGGCCGTTTTCTCAAGTAGGTTTTAACATGCATCTGCCCTTTAAACACAAATTTTGTTCTAAACAATGTGTTTGCAGGCAAGATAAATTTTAAAACGTAATTGAGAAAACGGCACTTAGTGTTTTAATTATTTTTTAAGAACTACTTTCTAAAATTTTGTTTTATTTTTATGTTTAAAAAAATTGTTACAGAAAATTTTATTTTTTGAAATTTTTAGTTTCAAACTTTATTTATTAATAAAAAGTCCTAGATTAAATAATAAATACTTAAATTTTGTAGAAATATCAAAATTTTTTCCTTTTTCAAGATTGCGTTTACTTTTGATTTGAATACATTTTTTTTAGAAAAAAAAAATTTTTAGATTTTTTTAATTCTATAATTATTAATAATTTGATTTAACTTTTACCTTTAACAAAATATGTTCGGAAAATTAAATTATGTGCCAAAAAAATTTTAAAATTTTCGTTTTAAATTTTTTTCGTTTTTCGTTACTTTATGCACGTACAGTATTTTCATTTCAAATATTTTCCATCCACTTAATTTTGGTTTGCCCCTACACTTTTTCATGTATAAAAGCAACACAAAAATTTAAACACATTGTAAATAAATACGTACCGTAAAAACCAAACTACATCAACAAACCAAAAAAAAAAAATATAGCTAATGTTACAATAACAACCACTACCAATATAACAACCACTACCACCACCACTACATCTAACCCAATCACTGAAGTTACTACAATATTCACAAATAAAACTGGCACCTCCACGCCGAGCACAACCACCACCACTGCTAAAACCACTACCTCATACGAAACCACAATCGCCGGCGTCACTGAAGAAGCTACCACAATTCCAACAAAACTATTCACTGAAGAGCCCAGCTCCAGCACAACCGAATCGGGCAAAGATTTAGACTTGAATATGACAAGTAAAACTGGACCACCTAAGGGTTATCGCGATGGGGAGAATAACATAACAGCCAGTACTGTACCAGAACAGCCAACCACGCCCACATTCACCGCTGTCTCAACGTCATCATCCTCTTCGTCATCGTCCACGTCCACCTCCTCTTCTTCGGTTTCAACGAGCAGCAGCAGCTCGCATCGTGGTGAAGATAGTAAGGGTCCATTTGATGCGCGAACCACTACACCCAAAATGAAGACTACACGCATTGATACCTCAAATGAATTTGATTATAATCTAACCACTTTATTGACGACCACACAACGTACCACCTTCCCGGTGACTATGGTAACTGAACCAATGAAAGAGGTGGCAGAGCAAACGACAATGAGTGCTCGTGATTTGATAACAACCATGTTCCCGGTGATAACACCACCGGTGACCGAACAATCCAGCGAGCGTCCAACTATGCCGGGCACGACGACGCCATTCGTTTATGAGACAATCGAACCGCTAACGACAACAACGACAACACCAGCTGCGGCAACTAATGAACCTGGCACTCCTCCGACTACTAAAAGCGTCACAACCACCGAAAGTGGTGTCATCACCACAGTAGCCACTACCTTCAGTACAATTAGCAACACCTCTACCACTGATACCGCTATCACAATGATTAACACTTGTACAGATCATACTAACTGTGGTTCTAGTCAATTATGCGTGCTGGGAGTGTGTCGCAACAAGTGTCGCGAAGGGGACACAAGCGATACGGAGTGTGTACAAGGTATAATGTTAATGTATAGTTCTTTTTTTTTGTTTTTTTTTTACGGGGGAAGCTTTTTTCTTATTTGCATGTTTCTTTTTTGAGTTTTTTTCGTGATGATCACAGTATGCTTGCGAGGTTTTTGAAATAAATGTGAAAATAAACTAGGAGCATGAAATGCATGTTTACATATTTAAAAATAAAATAGTAGCTGTCTTCACTTTATGATCGAGCTTTCGGTATATGAGCAGCTTTTTTAAATGATTAACTTTTCTTTTGAAAGGAGCTTTAACCACGTGATCGAACTTTCACCATATGATGCAGCTTTCACAATGTAATAGATCTTGAGTTATATGTGCGAGCTTTCTTTTAAAGACCTTCTATTATTTGCTCTAACAAGAGCTTTCACTATATTAATTCCAGGTGCGATCGAACTTTCACCATATGATGGAGCTTTCACTAAATGAAGAATCTTTCACGCGAATCCCAAACCCAAATAAAATATCACGTAGTATAAAAACTCAGCTTTTCAAAATTTAAACATACAAAAGCACTTAATCAAACTTTCAAGCCCTATTATAAGGAAGCACCAAATGAATCATTAGTGTGATTCACAAATCTAAAAAAACGATCATGGAACTCAAATAACTAAGCTATTTGCTCTCGTAGTTTAGTCATCTTATTCAAGATTTTTGACAACTCACCGTTTTAGAATAGCTTTTGCCCAATAGAGGAGTATTTTAAAATCTTTACTTTATAAAAAAATTGATACATGCTTTATAAATAGTACACACAATTTTTATTTTTATTTAAAATTTTTAAACGTCAATTCTTCAACGAGCAAACAAGGAGAAATGCAACTTTCCATTCATAAAAATCGTATAGGGAAAGTTAAGCTTTGGAAGTTCGTATGAAAATTTGTCTGTATTTTTTTTCAAAATCTTTCAGTCGTTTAAACCATTTCCACTTTAAAAAGTCTTTCCTTTTTTATAGGAGTCAAGCGGTACCTAAAATCGTTCCAAACGATTGAAAAGTAACATATAGAGACGAAATATAATGGTCATGATAAGAGTGAGCTTTTATTCTGCGCATGTCTATATAAAATTGTTAAAAAAAAAGCTTTATATTCTTATATTCAATTGTCTCTTTATCAATAAAGCTCAATAAAAAGTTAAATATTTGCTTAATGCTTTACTTCAATGATTAACAGCGCTTTGCCCGCTTCTAGAGATTTTTTTAAGCTCTCTACATATTTTCTTCTCTCTCTGTCCGTTACTGCTTTATATTATCTAGTTGTTCGAAGCTTAACACAGAGCTTTTTTTTTTGAAGAAGACCTGTGATAAATATTTTATATGTAATTTAAAGAATTCCATAATTTATGTTTAAAATTTGTATCGTTCGTATAGAAAATAGTTATGCTTCATAGACACTCTTGTAATTTTTCCAAAAAAAAAAAAATTGGTTTAAATTAAAGCGAGATTTAGATGGTGGAATCTTTTCATTTGTTTTAGTTTCCATTGGTGAACATCAGGGCTTTCATAAATTTCCGAAATACGGCTAATTCTGATGAAAAATATTACTAGCATAAGCTTTGAACAACGAAAAAAAAAACCAAGCGTAAGTTAGACGTGATAGCTTAAAGCTTAAAAGATGAAATCTTTTCAAACAAAAAGTCTATGTCAGTTCCAGTTACCTTAGCTGGTGAAAGCTTTGAGGCTGATAGAAGTTTTGAATTCGTTCGAATTTCGGTAAACGGTGAAAGCTTAATTGCAAAAAGAAGGTTTACATCATATTTGAACGCCTTCAAAGGGTGAAAGCTTTAGAGGGAATACAAAGTTTAAGTCCTTTCGAAATTTTCGTATTAAATTTAAATTTAGAAGCTTTTGTCAATTTCGAAATTTGGCAAGTCTGACAAGAAAGCTATATTTTTGTAAAGATAAAGCATGTGAAAGTAAAACAAAGATCGTCTTCAGCTGGTCATACCTTTTTTTCTTCATATATAATTAAACTGTAAATACTATTAGCTAGAATATGTTCCAAAGAGTTTTCTAAATGTAAATAGATCTTCTATCTTTTAAGTGGAAACTATATTTAAAATAAATACAACAGAATCTTTATGAAAGCTCTCCGTTTATATTTTGATTACTTGCTTAAAGAGTTCAGTGTAAATGATTTTAAAGGGGTAATATTTTATACCAGATTTCTAACATAAGTACTAGACTTTCAATACTATTTGTAAATATTTATTGTTAACGCCTTCTCCAGAAGCGAAAGCAATTTTGCTAAAAAGCATTTTTGATACTCAAGATTCAATTTTTCCGATACTAAAACATACTGCTCGCCTTTTGGTTGCTCAATATTTGCTTACTCAAAAACAATTGTAAATAACAATCCCCCAAAACTTTCCAATACTGACTGTACATACTGGTATATTTTGTATTTTGGTTAACCCATTTTTTTTTTTAATTTGCAAATCATATTCACTATAATCTAAAAAAAAACTTACTTACCTATTAACAAACCATTAATGCTCTCTAACATCTCTAACAAGTAGAATCACCTGGCTCACCAAAGAATCCGGAACCATGTCAATCGAACAATGATTGCATTGAGAACGAAGCATGTTACATGGGTCTATGTCATAATCCTTGCGATTTTGCGAATGTTTGCGCACCCACCGCCAAGTGTGTGGCGAAAATGCATCGGCCGATATGTTCGTGTCCCAAGGGACATGAAGGTAATCCGGCCATCAAATGTACACCAGTGGATAGGACAAGTAAGCTGACTACGTTCATTATATCCCATATCTAATAAATATTTAATACTCGTACTTTACAAAAAAAAAATAATAATAATCAATATTTCATTAAACAAAAACAAACTAATCAACAAATACTTAACTCATTTGTAGTTTGAATGATGTCTGCAAATATTTATAACTTTTGTTTATTTCTCGCCCCCTCTCAGTTGAGTGCACGCACAATGCCGATTGCGATGTAACTGAGGCTTGCATTAATCGCCGCTGTCAACATCCATGCGATGCGCACAACCCTTGCGCACAAAATGCTGTCTGTATGAATGCAAATCATGCGGCCGACTGCAGCTGCGTGGATGGTTATCAAGGCAATGGTTTTGTCGGCTGTCAGCCAGGTAAGTGCGGACATGCGTTTGCGGAGAGGCGTTGTACAGGAGCGGTTCAATTGCAATGACAGGCGAGCGACCTGAAATAAAGAAAAAGGGAAAATAAAAGAGGCGTGAGTACCAGGTACTCATGAAATTTGATGTGGAAACATTTGTGTGAGCTTGGCAAAGCATTAGGCGATTCAGTTGGGTACATACGTAAATAGGTTAGGTAAGAAATTAAAAATTAATTTCATTTAACTGAATTTTTTTGTCGGGACCAGTACAAACCAACTTCGGGAATTGTTCAGGATCGTTTCCTGACGAGTTTCGAACTACTCCTAAATGATCCCGATCTAGGGCCGAACTAGGCCCAAAAGTGTTCTAAAGTAGTTCTGTAAAATTAGTGAACTTGCCCCGAAAGGATCTCACACAAGTCTTGAAACTGTCCCGAAATGGGCCCTTACTAGACCCACAATGATCTCGATCTATCCCCGAAATTTTCCTGAAACTAGTCCCGCAATGGTCCTAAAAAAGTACGGAACTACTGAAATGGTTCGGAAATATTTTAGAACTAGTCGCTGAATAGTCGTTTAATATCTCCGGAATGGTTCAGAACTAGTCCCAAAATCGTCTTAAACTAGTCGTGAACTACGTAGTACCAAAATGGCCCTGAACTAGTCGAGAACTATGCATTTCACATCAAAACGTTAGAATAAAAGTTCAATTGCAGCAACCAAGTTATAAAAATCCGCTTTGTTGTTTTTTTTTTCTACCAACGCCAGTCGCCTGTCATTGCGTTGAAGTGTCCTCCCATATGTCCTAAAAAAAACTTTAAGTTAATTTTTCTCTGCGCAAAACTGCACCTCATATTTAGCATTTTTTTTAATTTTTCGCAATGTTAATTTCGTCACTATTTCTCTAATTTTCTTTTCAAAACACTGTAAAATATGCTCACATCATTCACCTGTAAAAAACAATTCGTACCTTCCTGCAACACCACAAAAAAAACTGAATATGAAATAAAACTCACCACACCACCAACGTCCCAAAAAATATAAATACACTTTACAAAATCAATCAATGAAATAAAACATACACCTGCACAACAAACTCTGTATACGAAAAACAACTACGAACCAACCGCGCCCGTTTCGTTGGCTCATCCTCCACTCGCCAAACGCCACACCGCACTACAGCGCTCGATCATACACCTGTCTGTCAGTACAACGAGGATTGTCCACCTACGAAACTCTGTGATCGTCTCAACCGCCGCTGCATCAATCCCTGCTTCGAGGACTCGTGTGGTGAGAATGCTGAGTGTATACCCGTCAACCATGGCATCGAGTGTCGTTGTCTGGCAGGCTTCGTCGGCAATGCTTACATCGAATGTTCGCAAGTGCAGGGTTGCCGCGCGGATCGTGAATGTGACGCCAGTCAAGCGTGCATTAACGGTAAATGCGCTTCACCCTGTCGCTGTGGAGCTAACGCACTTTGCGATGTCATCAATCATCGTGGCATCTGTAAGTGTCCACCAGGCTACGCTGGCAAACCAGAAGTCGCCTGCAATCCACCCATCAATCCTTGTGACCCCAATCCATGTGGCGTTAATGCGCTATGCGAGCTTGATAATGGTAATCCAATTTGTTATTGCCCCAAGGGACTCACCGGCAATCCTTTCAAAAATTGCAGTAAGTATTTAGTGAGCGGCAATAGTCACTTAATCGGTAAAAAAAAACAATTCCTTAAAACTCCTAACCATTCCTCTTCTGTTCCCTTTCAGTACCCGAAGGCGATGAGTGTCGCCCGAACCCGTGCGGTCCCAACTCGGGTTGTCGCATGGTGGGTGGCTCACCCACCTGTTTCTGTCTACCCGAATATGAAGGTCAACCCCCGCTTGTGCAATGCGAAGTGCCGAAGAGCCCCTGCGATCCATCCCCTTGTGGGCCGAACACCCAATGTGCTGTACTCAGTAACGGCTTCTCGAAGTGTACCTGCCTACCCGGCTATGTGGAAAGTCCCAACACGATTCGTGGCTGCATCGAACCTGTCAATCCATGCGACCCAAGCCCTTGCGGCCTGGGCGCTGTTTGCGATTCTTCGCGCACACCGGTTTGCTTCTGTCCCGACGGCCAAATCGGCAATCCATTCAAGTCCTGCGAAAAACCGCCCATTTCCGATGAATTATGTACACCTGGACCATGTGGCCGCAATGCTGATTGCTACGTTACTAGCAACCGCGAGGAATGCTACTGTCGTCCAGGTTATATTGGTGATCCATATCAAGGTTGCCGCGAACCACCACGTAGCGCGTGTGAACCAAATCCTTGCGGTCCGAATGCTGAATGCATAGTTTCTGTTGATGGTCAAAGTGCTTGCATATGTCCGGATGGTTTATCCGGTGATCCCACCTCAACTAAGGGCTGTCATGGTTACGAATGTCAAGTGGATGCCGATTGCCCGCACGACAAGGCGTGCATGGGTTTCAAATGCTACGATCCCTGCCCAGGCGCTTGCGGACAAGGCGCCAATTGCCGCGTGGAAGAGCACCATCCAGTTTGCTCATGCAATGCTGGACTCACTGGCAATCCGGGCATACGGTGCTATGCGCTGGACATACCAAAAACCCCTAGTCGCAATCCATGTTTGCCCAACCCTTGTGGCGTCAATAGTGACTGTAAACTGCTAAACAATCGTGCTGTATGCTCCTGCTTGCCCGGCTATTTGGGTGATCCACAGAGTGGCTGCCGCGCCGAATGTGATATTAACTCTGATTGCGGCACGGCGCAAGCCTGTATCAACCATAAGTGTATTGATCCATGTGCTGGCACAGTTTGCGGCATTAATGCTATTTGTAGAGTACAACAACATACGCCCATCTGCGCATGTCTCGACGGCTTTACCGGTGACGCTTTCCGTCAATGTATACCTGTTGGCGTGCTTAAGAATATAACACGCGACCCATGCGTCCCTTCACCTTGTGGACCACAAGATGTTTGCTCGATATACGGTGACGGTGTAGCGCTTTGCGACCCTTGCTTTGGGTCTAATGCACAACAGAACCCACGCTGCCGACCTGAGTGTTTATCAAACTCCGACTGTCCCTTCGATCGCGCCTGTTTAGGCCAACGCTGCTTGGATCCATGCCCTGGTTCATGTGGACACAATGCTGTCTGCAATGTGTACGAACATAATCCCATCTGTAGCTGCCCGCCTGGCTTGTACGGTAATCCCTACGAGCACTGCTCACCGCCTTCGCCGTTTGAACCAGCACCATCACCTAGCTGCGAGAAATTACAATGTGGCGCCAATGCGGAATGTAAGAAACGAAGTGGCGCTTTGACTTGCGTCTGTCGCACAGGTTATTTCGGCGATCCTTTCATCGGCTGCCGACCAGAATGTGTACTCAACTCAGACTGTCCGGCTGATAAATCTTGCGTCAATTCTAAATGCGTGGATTCATGCGTCGGCGTTTGTGGCATCAATGCCATGTGCCGTATTGTTAATCATGCACCTGTCTGCATCTGCGTAGATGGTTATACTGGCGACGCAGCTGTCCAATGTAATCCATACTACTTACCACCTAGGAAACCAGCGCGCAACCCTTGTGAACCATCGCCTTGCGGCCCCAACTCACGTTGCATGATTTCGCCGGATGGCTATGCGGCCTGTTCATGCCTGCCGAACTTCAAAGGCTCACCGCCAGTCTGTCAGCCAGAATGCGTTGTCAGTTCGGAGTGTCCGCTGAACAAAGCTTGCATCAATCAACGCTGCGCAGATCCATGTCCGGGTACATGTGGCGTAGAAGCACGCTGCGAAGTCCTTAACCACAATCCCATCTGCTCTTGCGAAGCCGGTTTTGAAGGTGATCCGTTCGTGTCGTGCGGCCGCATACCAGAGGAAAGAACTGATAGCAATCCTTGTGTGCCTTCGCCATGCGGACCCAATTCAATATGTCAAATTAAACAAGATCGGCCAGTTTGCTCATGCGTTGCCAATTATATTGGCAGCCCGCCATATTGTCGCCCGGAGTGCACTTTGAACACCGAATGCCCAGCGGATAAGGCTTGCATACAAGAGAAATGTCAAAATCCATGCGCTAATACATGCGGACACAACGCACGTTGCACAGTGATTGCGCATGCGGCGCATTGTAGCTGCGACCAGGGTTACGAAGGGGACGCCTTCGTTGGCTGCTCGAAAATTGATGAGAGTAAGTGGAGTAATCAATGAACGATGTGTGAGGGGCTTAAAATTGTAAGCTTAAAATTTTCTTTTTTACACTTTATAGAGCCAAAAGACCGCATCGATCCCTGCTATCCTAGTCCTTGTGGCGAGAACGCAATTTGTAGCGAACGTAATGGCGAAGCACGCTGTAGTTGTATTGAACCTTACATTGGCGATCCCTACACCACTGGCTGTCGACCCGAGTGCGTTTACAATGCTGAGTGTCCTTCGGCGCTTGCCTGCATCAAGCAGCATTGTCGCGATCCATGCGTGGGCACTTGTGGCTCGAACACTGAATGTGCGGTAGTCAATCATGTGCCTACATGCAGCTGCGCGCGTGGCTATGAAGGCGATCCATTCACTGGCTGCAAGCGAAAGAGTCGTAAGTGATTGATTTTATTCTGAATGCTCTCTTTTTCTAAACATCTCTCTTTCATTTTCATTCAACAGCAACCCTACCGCTCAGCCCTTGCGAACCCACACCTTGCGGTGCTAACAGCATTTGTCGCGTGGTGGACGATCGTCCAACCTGCTCCTGCCAAGTAGGCTACTTCGGCGCGCCACCCAACTGTCGACCCGAATGTGTTGTTAGCTCGGAATGTGCACAGCACTTGGCTTGTATCAATCAGAAATGCACAGATCCTTGTGTCGGTACCTGCGGCTTCAATGCCAAATGCCAAGTGGTTAACCACAATCCTATCTGCTCGTGTCCAGCCGATTACATGGGTGATCCGTTTGAGCAATGTGTGCCAAAACGTAAGTATAGAAACAGAAAGAAGCATATACGAGCAATTCTTAATATTCTTCCTTACAGCTCGCGAACCACCACCGAAAATAAATCCTTGCCTGCCCAGTCCTTGTGGCCCCAACGCAGAATGTCGTGACGTTGATAATCGCGCTGCTTGTAGTTGCGCGCCAGGTATGTTCGGTGCGCCGCCCAACTGTCGTCCCGAATGTGTTATCCACCAGGATTGTCCATCGAATCGTGCCTGTATACGCCAACGCTGCGAAGA